TCTGCTGGGGATTGATACACACGAGATGAAGTGCTCTGACATGGGAAGTGTCAGGCGAGCGCTCTTATCTCGGAGACATGGTCTCCTGACCCGAACACTGCTGATTGCCAGTGAGACGGGAAGGGGGGAGCCGGGGGGGCACCCGGGGGGGGGACGCCACCGTTGGGCTCCGGCCCCCAAAAGCAGCTGGGATATTTGGGGTGGCAGAGGCAGAGGGGAGCCTGCTGGGGCTCTCCTGGGGGTTTTGAGRGCAGCTCGGGATGCTGAGGATGGAGGGAGTCCAGCACTTTGGGAATTTGATGGGAAGGCACAGGGAATGTGGAACAGTGTGAGGGTCTGACCGCCCCATTTGATCCCCACATCGCTCTGCTCCCTGCCTGCCCTCAAGTCCTTCATGGGAAGGAGCAGCTGGACAAGGGGCTGSTTCTGCCCTTCCTCGGGGTCACTTTGTGCCAAGGGTAAATGCTGTCATCTCCTCAAAGGCCTCATCCCTCCTGCTGCTCCTCTGAGATTGCACTGATGGGGAGATGGGCAGGGGATGCAGGTGGGAGGATGCCAGGGATGTGTGCCAGTGCTATGCTTGCTCCCAAAACCACTTTGCAGGGATGAAATCCCAGCTAGAAACAGCCCCAGGATCTCCATGGCTTCTGGAGCTTTCCAGCTCCGTGGGCTCCCCGGCTGTGGGAATGGGAAGGGAGGGCAGAGGAGCCACAGCTGAGCTGTCACCGGCCCGTGCTGGGGGCTGTGGCACAGGGATAGAGGATGGCACATGCCAGGGACAGCCTGGTGACCCCAAACACCTCGGGCACCTTGGACACCTCTCAGTGGGCAGCGAGGTGACACCGGCCACTCCCCTGGGACAGGCTCAGAGCAGCTCCCAGTGGCCTCGGGTGGGCAGAGAGGACCCGCGGGTGGCACCTGGGCGGTGGCAGGTGACACCACCCAGCGCTCCCAGTCGCTCACCTCAGCTCACCCCAGCGCCGGGAGGATCCAGATGTCAGCCCTGCTAATAAACACATCAGATTTCAATCTCGGCAGCCATGGGATCGCTTTATCCTCCCCGCGCTCCCGGCTCCAAAGGCAATTTTGCCTTCAGCCAGCGCAGCCTCCTCCCTGTGCTGGGCACCCGGGACTGGCTGCGTCCCCTCGGGGCTTTGGGGGCTCTTTTGGGGCTCTTTGGGGGCTGATCCCGCTGCTCTGAGCCCTCACAGCTGCAGACAGGCTGCCTTGGGCTCCCATCCCCGGGGATCAGCTCGGTTTTTGGGGGGCAGCAGCCRGCGAGGGGCAGGCAGCACATCCATCTGGGTATTGGTTACCTGCCATCTTATCTGCGCTCCCAAAGACAAAGGYACAGTTAAAACATTTTCGAGCAGCCTTCATAGCGTATTAACATGTTATCTAACCCATTAAACCAGAGCCTTATCAGATAATCAAAGCCATTAAGCCCTGAAGCTGCTGCGACTTTGGGTGCGGGGATGGGAAGAGCTCCTTCCGCTCCGCCGGGCCCGGCCCGGACCCCCCGGGAGGGGATGGGACCCCCGGGAAGGGGATGGGACCCCCGGGAAGAGGATGGGACCCTGGGAAGGGGATGGGACCCCCGGGAAGGGGATGGATCCCCAGGAAGGGGATGGGACCCCCGGGAAGGGGATGGATCCCTGGGAAGGGGATGGGACCCCCGGGAAGGGGACGGATCCCTGGGAAGGGGATGGGACCCCCGGGAAGGGGATGAATCCCTGGGAAGGGGATGGGACCCCCGGGAAGGGGATTGAGCCCCGGGAAGGGGATTGGACCCTGGGAAGGGGATGGATCCCCGGGAAGGGGTGGATCCTATGGGAAGGAAATGGGATCCCTGGGAAGAGGATGGATCCCATGGGAAGGGGATAGATCCCTGGGAAGGGATGGGACCC